CGAGGGGGATAAGAAAAGTGGCCAAGAAAATGAGTCAACCAGTTGCATGTTTTTGGTAATGAAGTTGGCAACCGATACACCGAGAGGGAGGAATTGTAAAGGAGAGAAGAGAGGTGTCTGGGGGGGGCCCACCTGTTTTAATGGTTTTTGCACACGAAACAGCGGGGCCACAACTTTTTGACACTGGAGTTTCGCCTTTGCGTGTCGTTTCGCCATCGTTCATCAGAGCCAAAGACTGAAGAGAATGTAGGGCTTGATAAAACCCAAATTTAATTAAAATTTAAGCTTGTTCTCCTTCAATAAAAATATAAGAAAAACACATGGAAAGCATATGAAGAAAAAACAGCTGTAATACATTTCGGGCTGCCATTTTTGAAACGAGTTGTAGTGGAACTTGGCAGATTAAAGATGGAAAACAATTGACAAATGCTTAAAGCTTCGATACAGTTGATTGTAAAGTTTAAGGTTCAAGCGCTTAGAGGCTGATTGAATCATAAATTCCGATTAAATATGCATTGTGTTTATTTTATTCTGTGCCGCCTAAATGGTTTTCAATTATGTTTTCCAATTTCCATATCCTCTAACTATTTCCTCTACAATTTCCCATTCATTTTTTTTTTTTTGTAATATTTTTTATGCAATAAATATTTAAGGTTTTTCTTTGCTAGTTATTATTTTATATTTATTCTAATCCCACACTTTTCCTACTGTTATATTTTTTCTATCAGCTATTCCATTTATATGAAGTTTTATCCGCATATCCGAGTGCATTTTTGTTTGCTTTTTTGTGGTATTCAATTAGTTACAAATGCATTTTAATTAAATGAAAACCTTTAGTCAGAGCTGCTCCACACAGACATGCCCCTGCCACACCCTCTCCCGCTTGAATTCCTATAAAATTCGATCAGGCTGTAAAACTAAAATAAAATTTGTATAAACTTTAAAATTGATTGAAATGTTTGGAATTTCATTTAAAAAGCGAAAGAGAAAAAATAGCTGCCACGTGCCCCTCCTTGTGGGGGGGCTCCTTTTTGTTGGCCAGCATTCCATCTATTTTTGGTCCATAGAATTCCACTCGTTGTGGCGTCATTTGTAAGCCATTTAATCATGCAACATACGCTGACACTCGCAGTCTCTTCCGTCAGCTGTCCTCTCACCCTCGCCCTCTCCTGCTAACACCTTCCCCCTCTACCCCTCTCTCCTGTTGCACTTTTACTCTATTTATAGGCATTCTCCAAAGACACGAGAGAGACATGGGTTTTCCCTCTCTCTCAATTAGTCAGCTGCTTGTCGCCCCGAAAAAGTGTCAAAATATTTTTGCTAGAAAACACATCGCTTTTCCTCTTGCATTTTCCGCACTGCGTTTGCTCAGCATTCCATTTTCCTTTGCGATTGAATCACAGAATCAGCTTTCAACATTTGGCCAAGAGCCAGGCGCAAGAGAGAGGCATTTGGCGGGGTGTGTGGCATATAGAGGTGCTGCCTGCCTGCCTGCCTGCCTGCCATGGCAAAATGTCACGTATACGTCGTGTGGCCTGTGTCGCCTATTGCCATCTTCTGCACTCCACCGCTGCCTCTTTGTTGCTGCCACTTCTTGTGCCACGTGTCACTCGCTTCTTAGTTCCTCGTTTGCGTTCCTCCTTTTGTTTGGCTTTTCTTTGAGGTAATTACGTCATTAACAAGAAATTTGGAAAGTGCCTCTCATCAGAGTATTTTGGGGAAATGGTTTGAGCAGCATTGAAGGAATGGTTTAAAGAGAATTGGGGCCATTGCCTGTGCGGTTTTTGCCATGGTATTTCCAAGGAGAGATTCTTTCATCGTAGCCTTTAGTTGCTGAAATGAATCCCATTTCATGATGCTTTATGGAAGGCAAATGTAACTCAAGTTTCCCCAGACAAAAAGCTCTTGGAAACCACTCAATTTTACTATAATTTTCCCATTTTCCCATCGACTCCATCGGCACTTCACTTTTATCATAATTTCTCTTGCCTCTTTTGTTGCTTTTTGTTCTTTAATTAGCTGTTGACGAATATTTCCAGCAGTCATTGTACTCTGCCCCTGCCTCTGCCTCTCTTTGTCTCTGCTGCGTGTTTTGCTTTGCTATTTTTGCTTGTGGCATGCCTCACTGGACGCCCACACACACAAAATCACATTTCAGGGGCTATTGAACCCTCCACTCGAATGCCAATCAACTTTTTAGCTTTGTGGCTGCCACCGATATGCGTATACCTTCCTTCCACCCATAGATACACCTGTTTCTGAGTCAACTCCTACTTGTGTGTTTGTATCTCCTACCCGTCGTCCCTTCCGCCTCTTTGTCCTGGGTGGGTGTGTCGTCTGGCTGTGACAGTGATTCCTCCTCATCCCTTTCGATGATGCTGGAACTTTGATGTTTGCATCTCTCTAGCTGCCACGCCACTCATTAATGCAGTGCCACAACCACGCCCATGCAGCATGCTGCACTTGCAATTCGTGGGGAGGCGAAAAAAACTTTTACTACATTTAATTAAATAAGTTTTTACTTTTTGGCGAAGCTTTCAAGCTGCCTTTTTTCCCATTTTCCCACTTACTCTTTTCTGATTTCCCTGCTTTCTGTCTGCTTTTCATTTAAATTTGTCTTTTAGGGGTAGATCTTTTAATTTATTTGCAACGGAAATTGTATTTTAGAGACAGTAAAGCAGCAAATGCAACCGAAATTGATGGGTTTTCCCGTTTTTCAATCACTGAAGTGTATTTTTGAGGATCTTCAATGGAAATCGTTTTATAAATGGAAATCCTAAAGGGAAGCACCTAGAAAATGTACATCCTACAGCTACCTATCTACCATCTACCTCCATTAATAAATTCTGCAACCAAAGAGTATCCAAAAACTTGTTCTAGAAGCCAGACTCAGACTCGATTTCGTTGCTTCATTGAAGGGGGCATTGACAACAAATTTATCAAAAAACTATTAACGTTGGCGCCGTCATTCTATGCAAATCACATTGCTCCATACAGTGAGTGCAATTTGTATGCAGTCAGTCTCCAGTGTGGGTCTGTCAAGCGGCATTAGCATCCAGCAGGGTGGCAGCAGGGGAGAGGCAGACAGGCAACAGCATCATAATCATATTTCCAGTTGAACACAGTGATTGGTTGTTGTTCTTTGTTCTAGCCCACTCTCCAACCTTCCCCACTGCCCTCTCCCTCGATCGTTATAGCCTCGTTTTAGAAGTCAACAACAGCTTACGACGAAATGTATGTAGTTAAAGTCCTCTCGAATGATGGTTCCCCTGTAATTGAGTTGCACTTATGGCAGGAGGGGAGTGGGGCAGAGTGCTGAGAAGTGTTTGGCTGCCACAGAGATGGGGCAAGAGACTCTTGTCTTTATATATATAAATATATTCCTATGCAAAGTATCCCATAAATTGCTCTGGCTTGGCATTTATGCATTGTTTAAGCCAAATTGCTTTTGGAAAATGGCCCCCACTTTTCGCCCCGCCCTCTTGGGAGAGACGCAACAAGAAGCCATCTCTTGACACTCCAGAGGGACACGACACACACTTTATCACATGATTTGAGAGACAAATAACAAGAGATTTATTCATAGATTTATTTTAAGAGCCACTCCTTTAGTTTTTATTCTTGTTCAGCCAATTTGCATATTTAATTGTCAAAATCAGACACAGTTCTGTGGCCCAGAAAGATTTCAAGAGATTTGCATACAAGTGTTCATAGTTTTTTGATTGAGTTTTTATTTGCATGTGTTCATAGTTTTTTTTTTGTTTGTGCTGCTTATATTTTGTTGTTGATTAGTTCAATGGATTATCTGGTCTGCTGGGGAGGTCGTTTCGTTGGTGGCGCTCGAGTGGATCATCTCCATCAAAGTGTCTGTGGGACTTGCTCGAGTGTTCTCGACGCGTACGCGCTAAGACAACTGATTGAATCAAGTGCCAATTTCCTTAAACGGAGCGACAGGCGGTAAATCAATGGCTGCTTGCAGGGGGAATACAATTAAACGGGCATATGCATGTATCTCTCTGTCTTTCAGGAAGTGTGAATGTTGAATAAGAGATAAAAGTCGGAGAAAATGTCAGTGAAATGTCGTGGGAGGCCCACAAATGAAAGAGATTGAATAATAAAGAGGCAACTTAGATGAAAGAATTATCTTTCTACACTTTAGCTATCCTCACGGATTTCTTATAAAACTCCATAAAACCCATAAATTACTCAGTTTTTTTCCAGCTTTAACAACAAAATTGAAAAGACAAAACTTCAATCATTGTGGAAAATCAACAAAGGCAGGAAAAACAGACCCTCCCATGCCCCAACCTCCCCTCTCTCTCCTCTCTATCTGTTTTCCCAGCACCGCTCAATGGACAATTTGAAAAACTGCAAAACACAAAATTATTTTCATGCCTCACTGAACAGGCAAATAAAGGCGGCAGTCATTTTCTCTGCTTTCAGCTAAATGGATATTATTATATGATCGAACGAAAACTTAATTATAGAGGCTGCTGCACTGCACGCTGTGGAGAGAGAGGGGAGGGAGTGTGGAAGTGGATTCTCCCACCAAAAATAAACCTCAAAAATGCAGTGCTATTTCAAGTGTGGAATATTTTTAGGTTTCTACTGTAAATTATTCGTTTCGTGCATGGGGAAGTGCATTTGGGGAGACACTCCTCCCTACCCTGTGTCTCTTGGGGTCACGCCCCTGTTTATTATGGAAGTCCATTCTCCATTCTCCATTCTCCATTCTCCATGCTCCACGCTCCACGCTCCACTGATTTATGTTTCAGTTTCGAAAAACATGGAAATTGATGTTTCTGTGTGTTGTGTTTTCCTTTGTCATTCTGTTTGTTTGTTTTTCATAGTTTTAAGCAACTTTGATTTGGATTTAAAGTGGATGCGTACAAATACATGTGTATTTGTGTGTCAATAATTATGCAATCAACGAAGTGGCACTCGAATGTGTCCCGCCAGCAAATTGAGTGATTTACTGACAGTTTTCTCTTCCATTTCAGGCGTCACAATGCGGGAGAAGAAAGGTGGAGCCCTGCAAAAGCTCAAGAAGAGGCTGTCCCATAGCTTTGGCCGATTAAGTGAGTATAGCAAATATTATCTGAACATTATTAACAGCGTATTTATCAAGTATTTATATCCATATGAGGGAAAAATACTAAGAAAAACTTTAACTTTGATTTGCTTTATTGTTGCGATGTGGGTGCAGTTTTTTCAATGCGAATTATTCTTGCTTTATGCGTTTAACTTGTATATATTTGTACATAAGTATTTAACTGATGGATTTATGTACATTTACATGTGTGGTTTCTATGGATAGCTGGCTCATACACAGCTTCAGCAAAACTTGTTTTTGTCTTTGAAGGCAAGGCGTTGCCCCTCGCCTCAAATCGGGAAATGTCAAATGTTGAATGATTCATTCAGTCAACTGTTAATGTTGAAGAAAAGACAATAGAAATAGAAGAGAAGGAAGGTTGAAGAGACGCTTCAAAATATTTTAAAACTAAAGAATTGGTTTATAATTCATAATAAATAAATTAAATAAATAAATATACCAAAACATCGAAGCTTTCTGCTGTAATCTTTGGCCACTTTTAGGCCTTACCCAACTGTCACTGTCCATGCCAACACATACCCCAAATGCCATTTAAGGCACCAAATTGTTGGACTACCTTTAAAGACAATTCAGATACAAAAATAACAATATTCAGATATAGGTATAAAATATTCAAGCTGTCAACCAAATATGGCAGCACTTTTGGCCCCCCGTCATATGGGAAAATGGAACAGCTGTGCGTTCAGGGAACTAGTTTCTGGCACTAAAAGAAAAACAAAGAGAGAAAAAAGACAGTAAAGCGTTTCTGTATTTGTGTGTGTGTGTGGGCGTTGAAAGACAATTAGTCGCATGCCGCATGCCGCAAAATCAAGCGTCCGAAACGAGTTTCGATCGAATGTGAGTCACAGAAACAGTAACAACAGAAATAACTGAAACACCAGGCCATCAGACCATAACCATATCCATACCAATTGGTGCAGCAACATCCATCCACAAATATCATAAATAAATTCCGCACATAAAGTGCATGGAATATCTGTAATTAAGGAGCTGTACGATTGCATGCCACAACATTTCCAAATTTCCAAATTTTCAATTTACAATTTCCCGAATTCTCTGGCACATTCTCTGGCCTGTCAATCGCATTCACACTAACATTCACATTCAAAAGCGAGAATGCATTCACATTTCGCTTCGTGTGCATTCAATTACCGCACGAAACGACACAGCCATCAAAAGGCTGGACCTTTTTAGGCCATTAAAAGACTTTTGACCAACAAACAACAAAAATAACACCCGCAACAACTGGCTGAAAATTTGCATTGCAATTTTTGTATCTTTTGTGGTCGAAGCGATGAGAGGGGAAACAAAAACTCTGCTGCAGTTTTTTTGGCATTTTGTGTTTGACGCCCTCTCTCGCTGGGGAATTGAAGAAGGATTGGATGCAGGAGCTCTGAGCTGCCGGACAGCTGCATCAATTCAGGGGGGCAGTGCGGAATGAAGGGTCACCACCCCTGAAATTGTTTTCAATTCATAACTTTTGGCATTTGAAAGGTACACGAAAAAACAGGAGTAGAGTTTGCCGGGGAACTACAGGGAATATTGAATGGGAGTTTAAGGTTTCATTTTTGGGTGGGAAATATTTACGAAAAAGTGTGATATTTATCAGAGTTTATTAGCTAGACATTCCCTATCAATTTCCAACTAGTTTTTGTGGCTCTTACAAATCTTCAAAAATATATGAAAAATCTTTACTTTACTTTTTCAGGGAGAAACATGCAAGAATCAATCCCTATTCCCATGCCCATTGCCCATCATTCATGCAGCATTTCATCAGCTGTTCACTGATCAATTTTCCATTGAAAAGTACTCACAAAAAAGAAGCATAAACAATAAGTATAAGTTTTGCTCACAATTTTCCACCATTCCCGCCACACGTACAATTTGTCAGCGTCTTGTGCGCGAGTGCAGCTGTGTCTGCATTTGTATTTCCTCCATCTGACAATTGAGCAATCCTTCAAGTGAAAGAACAATTTCAATTGCAACTTTGATGCCCCGACAGCTCCCCAAAGAAATATTTCACGATGCTGCAGCAGCTCCACAGCTCATAAATGTTGCAGTTGCAGAAACGAAAACTCTTTTTTGCTAGCTGCCTTTTATTCTGGCTGCAAGTTAAAATGTTTTCATTGCATTATTGAAGAGTTTTTCTGATGCAGCAGCAGCAGCAGCAGCATCAACATCTGTCGGAGGAGGAAAGAATGTCACTCAAGTGGCAGCCGGCAACTGCTGGCCAAGTTTGCTGTCAAGGCTATTAACTGTTTGCTTGTTGTTGCCACATCGAGTGGCAGGGAGACTGAGAGACTTGTTTGGGAGGGTGGGAATTCGTAATCGGAGTCGCCTGCTGCACTGCTTAAGCCATCGTTAATTGCAGACTTGTTTCTTCGCTTCACTTTGCTTTTCTTTGCTGTTTTTATTATTTTTCTGTTTTAATTATGCTTCCCCTGGGTGCGGGGATCTTTCTCATCTATTGCCCCATCACCAGAGCACTTGCTTGCTTTGAAACTACTTCATTTCCTTGGCTAAGTAGATTTCACTTGGAGCCAGAGATTTTCCCTGCCTTCATTGAGTTCTGATGAGCGCGGTTCTGATGCAGCATTCCACAGACCAGTAGAAACCAGAATTTCTATATATATATTTATTTATCCACAGATCGTGATTTCTTTGTTCTCTCTCGCTCTGTCTCTCTGTCTGTGCTGCTGTTCTCTTTGCCTTTAGCTCTTTTCTTTCTTTCTTTCTTTCTGTTGTTGCTCGCAAGTGGCGATAACTATTTGTATAAATGATTCCGTATGATTCATCTGGTTATGGAACCCATTCTGCGGCTCTTTTGAGTTCTTTGAGCTCTTGAGACAGAAGCGTTTCCCCTTTTCCCTCATTACTTTTGCTTCCGTTTGAAAGCGGTTTCTTTAGTTTTTTTTTTTGTACTTATTTATAGAATAATTCCTCGCGATACTTAGGCACTTAAACCAACAAAACTCAACTACAACTCAACCTAATTTCACTCTTTTCTTCAGCATAAATCCTTTATTCGTGCCTAACTCTTTATATTAACTCTCAACTCCCAGATAAAGCTACTTTCTAGCACAAATCTTTGGCTTATGCCCACTTGGAGGAGCCTCCTTGTATCACATTGCGCTCTAATAAATCTAAGAAAATCCTCTAGTTCAAGTGAGAAATCTTATATTTATTTGCGAGTCAAGCAACAATTGTGACACTTTACTCGGCTGCTTCCTGGCTGCAGGGTACGATGAAGTTGCAGCTGAAGTTGCAGTTGAAGTGAGAGATTCCAGAGAAAGAGATTCCATGTTGAGATGTTTTCCTTGGTTCCTGGGTGCTTTTGCTCCTTTCGTGTAAATATTTTATAGAGTCCAATGTCCGACTTTGACACTTGGTTGGCTCTTTATCCTCCCGCCACGTCCTGTGTGCCATCCTGTCTGCATCCGGCTGCCTGCTTGTGTCGCCTCATCATCATCATCATCATCTTGATGTTCTTTGTGCCACTGATACAGTTCTTCTTGTGATTCTCTCCAGCTCTTTCCTTCTTTCTTGCACTCTTTCGCCAGGTCTTTCTCCAGGGTTGTCATAATCCTTTTTGATAACATTTTATGTCAGCCAGTGGAGAGCCGCCATGGACCCCAAAGCGACAATCCACACACTCGACGTTGTCTATGACTTTAACCCTTGACTGTGGCTGTGGCTGTGGCTATGCTGTCCGGCGTGTCTATCTCTTGGACTCTGCCAGCCACTTGATAACTTTACACTTGAGATACAGACTCCCACTGCAGCTCCCTCCGGCCGTCACCTTTTGCAATCCCAAGCAACAGCCTTTTCAATATGTCTCCGCCTCTCTTGCTATTTGCTCTATGGCCCCTGCTCTTTTTCCAGTGCTACTCAATGGGTGGAGATGGATAGTGAGTGCGGGGAGCGAGGGGAATGCAGAGAGAGAGAGAGCAGAGCAGAGCAGAGCAGAGCAGAGCGAAAGACGAACGAAGCGCGCGATAAGCAGCTAATGGCCGGTCGACTGTTGATGCCTGTCCTCCTCCTTCTTTGCTTTTATCTGCCCTCCCTCTACTGCTATGATTCCTCATCATTATATTCCCTCTTCGCCCGCCCCCTGCCCTTTCTAGAAAGTCTTTTCAATGCCCAACTCTGTCTCTGGTCACACTGTGCCCGCATATCGCATGTGTGCTGTCTGCCCCCACCACAGTGATAACTGCCTTTGAGTGGATTTCGGAGGGAATCTTAGATCTCTCAGCGAATGATTCATAATGTGGGTTTGGGGTGGGATGGGAAAAACTGCCCAAGGGGTGTTAGAAGTGCTTTAAAGAGAGGAATTTCGAATTGTACATATTTTGTGAACTATTTTACCTGCAAAAAAACTATCATCATTGCTGCAGTGCTCACTGTGGTCCATTCAAGTGCCATTTGGGGCATCACATTCCGCTATCAAAACACGCATCGCTTCTCGCCTTTCCCTCTCTCCCTCCTTCTATTCTTCGCTTTCGTCTCGCTTTCGCATCGTCCATTCGCATGGAGCGCCTTTCAGCGACGTCGTCAGCGCCGTCGTCTTCATTGTATTTACGCTCTGATTTGTGAAAAGATAAGAGTGAGAGAGGGAGAGAGAAAAAAGCACTAGCCAAGCCAGCCACCTCATGCTTTGTGCACTCCTCCGCTCTGTCACTGCTGCCCCGTCTCTTCTGCTAAAAGTGTCTAAAGATTTGAAGTACCACAGGGAAACATAGATACACACAGAAGAAGATACTCGCGTATCATATCATTTATACACCACAAACATACAGACAAATCCGCTTTGGTGGGCCAAGCGTTTAATATGTCAGGGATTCGCAATGCCATGCTCTGCCATGCCATTGATATGAGACGATGAGACCTTCTTTGGGATACTTTGGGACTGATCATTATCTCCCTGCTCGGTGTTTGATGATGAATCACGCACATGACCTGACCTTT